TGGAAATACCCACATGTGCTGGTGGCTACTATATTTGCATAGTCTGAACATCTAAGAGATTCAGTGAAGGGTTCAAGTATGAAAAAGCCTGGTACAAAAAACCAAGCCATGAACAAGTTAAGCAGGAAAAAATAGTAGTATAACAATGGTTTAAAAATATTATTAAAATGTCAATAAATAATTCTTGTAATATATATAATAAAGACATTAATAATTCTGAGTCTAAAATCTCAGATTATATTAGCAATTTCATGCTGGAGAAAAGAGTCAAAAGGTACTTTTTCATTCTTAATGTTGCTAATCAGAAAGGACATGAGTTTTTTTTTGTTTGTTTTGTTTCTTAAGCCATAAAGGTAAAACTACCAACAGAATAAAACCAGAATGTATAATTTCTAAATCATTCAAAAGAAAAAAATTCATGATCTAAGAAAATGCTCAGGAGATCATAGCAAGTGAAAAACTGTAAGTGAAAAAATCACTATACAAAATTATATACATGATATGTCCCAACTTTTAAAGTATGAAGTTGTAATAAAAACTGAAATACATGAGAACAGTTGTTGACTATGGATGACTGTACATCATTATGTGTTTTCTAAATATTCTACAATGATCACTATTATTTTTATAATCAGAAAAATCTAACATAAAAAAAGAATTAGGGCATAGTGGGGGGAAAACTGGGACAATTGTAACAGAATAACAATAAAAAAAGTGATTTAAAAAAAAAGAAGTATGGTCATAGCTTATCTTTCAGAAATTAACTTACCATAGGTAACTTCACCTATCTAGAAGACAACCCAGTATCAAGAATCAAGCCAAAATACTCTAAAAGGAGCCAAAATACAAGTCACAAAGGCCACATCTTTCATACCTTCTTTTACACATATCTTAATTCCAACAAACTTGATTACCTAATGTTCCAGTAGCATTGGCAATACAGATATACCGAGAGCAGTGTAAAGTGACAAACCTGGCCTAACAGTAGGAAAAAAGCCACCAAAAAACCCCCATAAAACAGACATAGACATTCACAAAGCAATCCAGGTGCAAATATGGCAGAAACATCCCTGAATAACTCAATATATTTCTGAAAGTATGATAATAGATATTCACTATAACAACTCTAAGTTAAAGTGTTTTAAGCACAGACTGGTTAGTTGAGAAAGTGAGAAAAGTTCCTAATGTATTTTAGGAAGAAAATGATCACAGATGTTTATAATAAAAATGTTAGAGACCTTAAAGAAAATATCCTCAGTTATCCAGAGCAAGTCATGCCTGTGAGTTTCTCAGAGCTGGAGTTTTACTATGTTAATAGGATTTTATGGTTGGCTGCATCAACCAATACAAATCTGGAGAACAATCTGGAAGGAAATGATTAATGACTGCTTCTTTCCAAGGAAGTTTAAAAATAAGTAACCATAGGCATATCAGAATCAGCATTAACACAGCAATTGCTACTAAATGCAGCCAGGTTGTGGATGTTATTTTGGCTTCCATCCATATTCCAAGCAGGATTTAGGCACTTTATAGGTAGTCGGGCCCTGTTAGCTATTAGGGTAAAGTAGGCCCCATTCCATCACACCAGATACACTGTTTATTCTCCCTCCTTCATCCTTGCCTCTTGTACTTCTGATTTCAAAAGGCAGGCTAGAAAGACAAGAAACTGATTATGTTTGTATCTGTGGAACAAAGATTATGCAAACTGCCAGCACTCCATTGTTTTTGTTTTCAGCATGGTTATCACAAAACAAAAACAAAAAGATAACCTCTCTGTCTGAAGCCTGATTATTTGGAAACAGACCTGAATATTTCCTCCTCTTTCAATAATGCAGTAAGCAACCTTCATTTCACTTATCTATAGGGTACTTATTTGCTGATAGGGATTAGTTACTATTTCTATATGAGAGCTTGACAGAGTCCATCTGAGGAAGCTGCTTCCTGAGTTACTCTGGAAGCTCACTTCTGCTTTAGCATTTGCCAAAAACCCAAGAAAGCATTAAAACAAACAAACAAAAAAATTCCACATGCCCACAGGGCTAACAAGAGAAAAATATAATCACAATCCTGGTTAATGGCCCCTTAGCACTCTGATCTCTCCAGGCTTCTGTTTGTTTTTCATTTGTTCCTTTTTCTTTTAAATAGCCTTAGTAGTTGTTTTCCCCAGCTTACAAATGCAATACGTGGTCATTGTCACAGTTCACAACTCAAAAATATGAAATATAATTAATACTCTCTCCCACCCTCTTACTCCTCTCCCAAGGAAACCAGTGTTAAGAGCTTGGTGTATATTCTTTCTTATTTCTTAATAGGCTTGAGCAAACATATAACACAAAGGGGTTTTGGGGGGGGAGGGCGGAGTTTCTTTGTTTTCAGACAAAATGGGATATTACTGTGCACCTTTTTAGTCTTAAAAATCTGTTATGGATACTTTTCAAGCATATGTATCTGTCTACATATCCATCACATTCTTTTTAATGTCTGCAAAATATTCCATAAGATGAATGATTCATTCATACAATTACCCCACCTTTCTCAACTCATGGTCATTCAGGATGTCCTTTAATTTTAGTAACACAGATTTCTAGAAGTGAAGTTTCTGGGTTGAATGAAACACTTTCAATAGTTTAAAGTTTTATCCTTAAAAAAATTAATTTGAGACCTTCAGAATTTCTGCTCTCTCCTTCATAATGCAAAATTTTGGCATTAACCTTTCACAATCCTTTGCATATTTTATTTTTAAAGCATATACATTATATCAAAAACACTCTTGTCATTTATGCTCATACAGTTATAAATAAATAAATGCTCAAGTTATGGCTGTGATGGCTAGCATTAAATCACTGTGCAAATGCTTATGCCTTGGTTTATGAAAGTAGTAATTCATTGTGGAAACTCCACCCCCACAGCATGTGGCAGCACTAAAGTGGCAGCCCTCTCACCCTGTGACTCCCTCCACTGAGTGAGGATGTAGAGATCAGGACCTAATTGTCAACAGCCAACCTTAAAAGGTGTGCGTGGGGGGTGGGGGGGAGACAAGTAAACAGCAGCATATGCTAAATTGATAGCCATTATGGGTTTCTAATATCCACAAATTACTTGCAGTACAATGAATAATTCTTCTGGTCTACACCAGAGACAGTATTCCATAAAAAACAAAACCTATAACCAATATGTTGCTATGATTACATGAACCTTTCAAAAACATATTCTTCAAGCATTTTTCAATAGAATTATTGGTTGAATCCCACCTGTACATTTTTTTCCACTTCAGATTCAGACTCTAATTGCAATTAATCTCCATTCATGCCCTGCTCTACTTGTCAGCAAACAAAGGTTCTGCTTTAGAAGGAGATCTGAAGACTTCAATTAAAAACAGTCAGCTAACAAGAAAATAATCTAAGCTAAAGGAAGGTGGCAGGTGCAGAAATGAGTTGTTTACCGAAGTGTCAGTTTTGAACAATAAAGAACTGCACATCAAAAATGTTGAAGGAGTGAATTTCATTGCAAGTCTCTGAAAATAAAAAGGAATTTTCTACCAAGGCTGCACACGAAATGGAAATATGGTTTAACAAGCTTGTAAAATAGGTTTCCTCTAATAAAATGACAAATACCAATAAAAAGAATCACTTTGTATCTTTAAATTTAAATGCAAGGGCAGAATTAAACTTTGCCATAGTTCCCTCTCTCCTGGAAATGAAACATTTACAGCCTTTCTTTCTACATCAAATAGTAAAATATAGTAACCCGAAGGCAGGGGGAAGGCTGGATGGCTTCTTCTTAGACACCCAGATGATGCTCTTTTAACCTGCACACACTTTCCTACTCTGAAGTTTTACATTTATTCAGGTCATAGATTTTAGAAACTTCGCTTCAGAAGAAATACCTACTTGACAGCTTTTACATAGAAACAATCCAGAATGGAAACAGTGCTACAAACAGAGACCAAAAGGACTTCCCAAATATTTGATTAGGAGGCATTTATACCAAGATAACAAGGTAATGGAGATATAAAACCAATTAAGTCGAGAGAAACTGGAAGAAAAAAAAATACCCCTTGCCAAAAGTATGACCTGCCCAAAGCAGGCCATCTGTTAAATATGTGTCAAAAATGTCACTGCGATGCCAAAAGGCTTAATTCTGAGCAGTTCCCTCCTGGGACCCTTTTGCCAGCACAGAGTCCAGGCCTGTCTTTCCTGCCAGGTCAGTTACAGAAAAGCATGTAACTTTCACCAGAAAGAGTGTGAACTAAGCAGATGCTGTTGTCCATGAGCAAAGAGCCTCTTTGGAGTTGGAAGGATGTGTTGAGTGTTCGTGAGCTCGGCCTTAGCTCTTACAGGGACTGCTTAGGCATTAGAATTGGCAGGTGAACGAACACATCGGGGCACTTCTAGACGGGAAGTAATGGCATAGTGAGGGTCGCCTGCCTGGGTGGATAACGGGACCCCAGAAGTCCGAAGGCTGGCGAAGGGAGGCCGGGGTTCGCGCTGACAGAAACTCACATAAGCCCCCAGGCCTTGAGCGCAGGGTCCCAGGAGCCCCTCCCAGCCCCCTTGTGAGCCTCGAGGAGCTCTAAGCGGGAGGGCGAGGGTCTCCCGTGACAGGTGCCAGTTACCTGGGTTGGGGAGGGAGGAGGGCGCGAACCTACAGACCGGAGGAAGTGCTACGGAGAAAGGGACACGCTGAAGGCCAGGCTAGGTGGCACGGGACGGCGGGGACCAAGATCCTGGCCTGAAGTTGTTCAGAAGCCCGGGAGGTTAAGGGGGGCGGGGGGCGACGCCCTGAGAAGAAAGGATGTGGAACTGAGGGGACTGAAAGGCCCGCTGAGGTGGTAGCGTGAAAACCTGGCTTGGCAGGACTGAGGACTCTAGAAGCCTTGAGGTTCTAGAAGGCGGTGGGTGATGGAACTGAAAAGGAAGCCCAGCCTCGAGAGGCGCTGGCATCTCCTTTCCTGTCTTCAGCTCAGCCCTGGAGGGACTTCCCGAGGGCCGGGGCGTTACCTGCCAGGAGCCAACGGATCTCCTCGGGGAGGACGGCGGCGGCCTGCATTTGGCGGGGCGGTGGGGGGGCCGAGTGTGAGGCGGGAGAGGAGCCGTGAAGGCCTGGTGCCCGGGACCGCGCGCAGGAAGGCAACGCGCGGCACGGCGGAGGCACCTGTACCTCTGTTGCCCGCGCCGCCGTCGCCGCTGGGCCGAGCCGCAGGGCGGGGCCGCGCTCAGGAAGTGGCGCGCGCAGCGGGCGGGGGGCGCCCTGGGGCGAGAGGGGACACCTGTCCGCGGTGCACGCGCCGCCCCCGCCCGCGCCCTGAGGGAGAAAAGCTGGGGGAAGCTCTCCCGGGCGGGGTCCAGGCTGTGCCCCTGCAGACCCTCTGCTGAGACAAAATGAGTAATCGCGACCCCAAGGGACCTTGCCTCTTGGAAACTTCGCATCCTAAGCACTGAACAGTTGACCTCAAGGGGCAAGTGTAAAAGCCATATTGTCCGTAATGGGGCACGGGGTGGGGGTGGGGGGGCACAGGAGAGTAGAATCTGGGGAAGAGGTTGGTCCCCGCCCAGTCTAGCCGCACTCAGTTGCCAATCCAGTCCCCGTGTCCACACCCAGAACGAGCGCAGAACGTTCGCTCTTGCAGGCAAACCAGGCCATTTAAAGGGAATGGCTGAAAGTCCCAATACGTAATACAAAGCCACCAACATTTAGGAGAGTCAAAGTGATGGACACAGGGAGCAGAAGTGACCCTTTCAGACTAGGTCTGAAAGGATGTGAGGAATGGAAGGGGTGGCCCGGGGGGAGGGGAACCCAGGCTTTTCCCTCTAAGAGCTGACAAAGAGAGGAAAGTGAAGGACAAGATCACAGATAAGGGTTTTGTCCCTCATTCACAGCACGGCAGGTGTCAATGTCCTGGTGTGATGCCCGCTGGAATAGTCCAAGATGTTACCACTGGGGAGAATGGTAGGCAGGATCACTCTGTATCATTTCTCATAACTTCTATGAATATGCACTATCTCAAAACTTTATTTTTTTTTTAAGTACACTAGACCAAGTGCCATGAGGAAAGTATAAAGTGCCCTTGACGTTAGAAGGGGGGAGGTGAGTATAAGAAAAGGACGGAAGTGCTGTGTATATGTGTTTAATGGCTCACGTGGCGTTTGAGATGGGGGTTGAACACCCCAGCCCTTGAAGTGGCAGGAGGCCTTTCCAGGTGGAGGACCCAGCATAAGCAAAGATCGGAAAGCCTCCTGACTGGGGAACAGTTAATAACCCTCTTTTACTGGGTTGTATCGGAAAAGTATGGTTGTCAAGAAAACAGAAGCACTGTTGTGAAGGGACTTGAAGGATGAGGTTTGGAGCTCAGTTGAATGGGCACTGGGGAGCCCCGGACAAATTTTGAACTGAGGAGTGACCGAACCTCAGCCCCGATACAGCGTGTGATCTCGCACATCTCACTCCACCCCTACGCTTTTCCTTCTCTGCAAAAAATGGAATTTCTGCTATCAGGCTCCACCTACAAAGGATGTGGGAGGGACTGCGGGTGGTAAGAGAGGACACAGGGAAAAGATGGGTGAATTGGTTTTTACAGCAGGTTTGGGAAAATAATGATGCACATAACCATGGATAGGGGAAGAGAGCAGCAAGGAGAATCTGTCCAGAAGGAAAATGCATGGTAGCATGCCTGCCTCCTGGCACCGTTTCCCCTTCAGAGATACAGGCTCAAAGTTTGGGGGCTTGACCTTTCAAGGGGTAAAGTAGCTTTGAGCATCTTTACAGGTCTATGCCCTTCAGGGTCACACAGTCCCCCACAAGGAGGATATACAAGTATTGTAACTTTCTGTACTACGGTTGCAATTCTTCTCTAAATTTAGAGCTGTTGTAAAAAAAAACAAAACAAAACTGCAAAGGAAAGAAAGTCCCTTTTATATGTAACCTCAGCCCTCGGCCTTGCTTCCCCTCCCAGCAATGGAAGGAAATTTGACAACCACCCCTTCTTCTTTAAGGATATTTGTCAGATGCTATATAGGCTACAAGCTAATGAGTTGTTGGTTAAGGAGCCATAAACCCAGATAACTGCACATCTTCTCAGGCCTCGCTACCTGTCATAGCTTACTCATACTGAGGGATGCAGCAGAAACTCATGGAGCAGGTATTCTACATTCATTGTACGTGTTAGAGAGACGGGGGTAGATGGAGGTGCAGAGTTGGGTAGTGTGCAGTGGGTGACTGGCAGATTCCAATACGGCATTGTCATGTTGCATCAAGGTTTCTCATTGCAGACAGAAACCTGCCTCTACCCATGAGCGCAGCCCCCCTTAATCATCTGAGGAACCTGGTTCAGCAGTCAGCCTCACTCCTAATGACATTCTGTTAAATGGACAAATTCCTTTGAAGCCTTGTCCTTCTTTGAAATCCAATTTCGCAGGAAGCCAAATCTGATTGGGGGTAGCCATGGAAACCACACCAAGGAGTCTTAGAGGAGGTGGAGAGAGGCAAGGCAAAATGTGATAGTCAAGAGTCCTTTACTACTCTGTCGGAAATATCAAAGGGATCTGGAGAGGTTGGCAGCAGACGAGTCCCTGCCCGGGTCCTGTTCTGTGTGGCTGGGCACCATGTGGCTGTCATGAAAGTAAGCAGCCAGCTGTCTCCGCACACAGGCAGAAGGATGGAGCAGAATACACAAATCCCAGGTCTGTCTGCCTTTCTTTCCCTCCCCTCCCCCCAGCCCCAATTCCAGCAAGATCTTAGCATCTTCCCCCCCCCCCTCGCCGCCCCCCTTAGCTGCCTGGCCTTTAAAGACAAACAAAAGAATGACAAGGTTAAAATACAAGGCCCTCACAGATAAGAGGTCCTTTGGAGCAGAGGCCACAAAATTAATCTGAAATTCCTTGTAATTAGATAAGATAAGGGTATCTAAAAAAGATGCAGAGCAGGCAAGAATGGAGTCCGGCAGCACACAGGCAGAAAATATACTGCCTGGTCCATCAGGGCCCGTCACACACTGTCAGCAGACAGAAGACACAGAAAACATGGCCCACGCCAGCCTCTGGGCTGCTTGGAGATGCCATCTACATTTTCTCATGCCAGGTGGGCACTCACTAAATATGCATCCATGGGGTGTCCAGAGGGCTTAATCAGGAAGAAACAAGAGCATCTGGCACCCAGAGTGGCATGGGGTGGAAACAACTGCAAGCAAAGCAGGGGCCGGCTGGCATTGCTCCACCCTGGGCGGAATGGGTCTGGAGAGGAGACTCGGAGGGCAGGCTCTTGGGCTTCATTCTGAGCTGGCTATTGATCCCTGGATGCTGGGTCATGACACACAGCAGAACTGACGTCTGCCCTGTGGATGTGCGGCCACTGAATCTCAGCCCCTCAGTCCCAACCCCATCAACCGGGTTTATTGACTCTTTTATTGACAATGCTGGGGCCTAATGAGGACAAGAGCTGCACACTTCATTAAGGGCTATGGAAGGAGAGATGATGCATCCTACCAGTGCCAAGAACCAGGCTCACTGCGTGCTTTGCAGGGCCTCAGAACCCAAGCCTCATACCATCTCAAGGCAGAGGAGACAGACACAAGATGCTCACAGGTGCATCACTTTGAGGGTCTTAAAATTCAGGGTTTCTACAGCTTGCCAGGAGCTTTGCTCTTACTAATTAGCTAACCTTTAGACTTAGGAAGTTCCTATTACACATACATTCACACAAAGGCACTTCTATGGTCTCCCCTTCCAGCTCATACTCCTAGATCCTCTGCACTAATTCAGCAAAACAGACAGCTTCTCCTGCCATGTCAAGGAACATTCCCAAAGCAGGTTCTCAGGGAGGCACAGGCTCAAAACCACAAGGAACTATCAAAACTCAAAGGAGTCTTTGCGGTGATCAAATTTATGTTAAGGAACAGACCCAGTGCTCTGTCCAGGGCCATTCAGCTCATCAGGGGCTGCACTGGCATTAGAATCTTGGTTTTCTAACACTGGTCCAAAGCTCTTACAGAGCTAAACACTGGAGCTGGATAATTACAACCCAGGGATCACCGAGCAGCTCTGTGAAGCAATCATTGCTGCGCCCCCTCCATCTAAATAGTAACATTCCTTTCTTTGTTCCTTATCTTATCGTTCTATCAATACCTTTATTATTTTCCCTATGTTCTCCAATCAAATTTTTTTTTTGTATCTTCTTTGCCTGTTTCTTAGACCACATTAGACATCCCTCATGGGCACTGCTGAGCCCAGCAGAAGCCCTAAAGACCACAGAGGTTGCTGACTCTGACATTCTCTGTCTTTGATTGGTTCTCTTGGGTAATCTGAAGTGGGGGGGGGAGGGTGGCATGCAGAATGTGTCAGCTGTGGCCAGATGAGGCTGTGTACTCTAAGTGAGATGTGCAGCAGTCTACGAGGTTCATCTGCATGAGAGGCAGGTGGGGCCAAGGTAAATTTTATAGGCTAGATTATTTGCAGACTTGACAACTTTGGAAAACTATATAGAAGTAACCATTTCTTTTGCAGTGATTAAGGAGATTAAAATAAATAATAGAGAGAATAAATTTCTAAGGTTGAACTGGCTTTCATTGGTTTCTTTTCATCTGTTATTTCAAAAGGTAAAAATTTAAGCTCCCTAAACCCCTTCTTTTATTTCTGCCCTTTCTTCCCCCTCACTTTCTTTTGGGTCTTAGAATTCAGGGTTAGGACAGGAAAGTTCAAGGCAAGAGAAGGGACAGCTATTGAGAATCTGGCAGAAAGCTCTGGCCTGCATGGCATACGCACACATGTGCTTTGGAGGAATACTCACATAAGAGAAGCTGATGTAATCTGACCAGAATCAACAATGTTCACAAATACCAACAGAAGCACAGCCTGGATTCAGAGATAACACCAGCAATGGCTGGTTTCAAAGTAAGCAAGTTTGTAAAAGTACCTTTCCCCTAATGTACATCGACATGAAATGAGCTTTAAGTCCCCCTAAAATGCTCTTTTCTTGTCTTCAGAATTGTGTTAGTATTCATTTGGGTTTTTCCGTTTCTAAATGTCTGTTCTCAAACATCCTTGGGCTTTGTTTCCAGCAGCATTTTCTATCAATGTAAAACCATGCTCTGATTTATATACAAGGCAGCACTTAGTCCTTGTGTGCTTCTTTCAGGCTTCACTTTTCCTTCTTTTCTAAAGGATG